GATCAAATTTATACGTCGTTGTAACAGAAACACAGAGGAAGACGCTAACAGAAGAATATGCCGAACATGGTAAGGCACGAGACTGGAAGTATTATAAGAGAAAATCCGCATTGGTGAGTCATCACTTAAGAGGTTATTGGGACAGTTGGCAAAAGGAGAAAATATATCAAAACCAAAAAAAGGAAGAAAGTTTAAATATAGTTCAGCACTTTTTTCTGTGGTCGCTGAAAGTGTCAATTGAAGGAAAACTCTCGGAGAAACCAATAAGACTCTTGTTGAAGAAGAAATGGGAAAACTGGAAAGGTGGAAGAACTTGATAATGAAGTTGTTAGTGTGTCAACGATGTGTCGTAATATCAAGAACAAAAATATGATGGAAGAAGCGAAGTAGTGACTCGTAAAGTGTTTTTACGTGAAGACTTATAATTACATTAAGTTTTTTATTTGGTTAAACAATTTTTATTCAATGATAACTGTAAAACTAATTATAATTAACATATTTTATTAAAAAGTGTAGTTTTTACAGTTTTATTTTTTTTGAATTTATTGTGGTTATTTTTGTTTTGAAACAATACAAAATATATACAAAAACAATTATACAATAATCCTATATTATTTTAAAACAAAATACAATAATTATGAAACAACTTTTTGTTTTGGAACAATAAATTATTGATTTGAGGATAAATAAATAGTTATGAAACACCCGATATTTATATGCAACAATAATGCCAATTATGCAACGATCACGCAAATTGTGCAACAAAAAATAATTATTTTGAAACAGGGCTGAACAAAGGTACAAATCTAATTGTTATGAAACAGAAATCTATTTGTTATGAAAAATAAGGAATTGTTGTGAAACTAACTGTATTAATTTATAATCTTATCTGAATCTGACGTAGTATTATGTATTGAATCATCCTTTGTTTTTTAACTATTTAAAATTTCATTTGTATGTCTTAATGATTTATATTCCTTTAGTTCTCCAAAACTAACATAATTAACAGATGGTTCATATATATGATTAT